CACACACACATACACACACACGGTATGAAGATCAGAAGTGAAATAAACAGGAGTATGAAGATCTGAAGAGAAGTGCACAGGAGTATACCTCTCCTTTTACTCTGCCTCCTGTTATAACGTGCAAGTGGGCCGTGAAGGCACATGAGGATGTGGGCAGCTGCCGCTCAACCACAGTCAATGTGGGCAGCCCTGTACGTGTGAGGCATAGTAAAAGAGGAGCTGTTGCCCCAAAGAAACCCCAACTAAACACAATTCACAATTATGGTTCAATTATGATCCATGTTGCTTTGGCTAAAGAGGTGAATTCTCTAGTTGTTGCGCCGGCTCAACTCGAATCTACTTGTCTGGGTGGAACACACACACACACACACACACACACACACACACACACACACACACACACACACACTGTCACACACACACACACACACTGTCACACACCGGCCACGGGCACACAGCGAAAAAAGACAGCAATCCCTAACCCAATAACTTTGCGCAAATCTCACTACCCCATTGGAAACTTGGTGCAAATCTGATGGGCACCACTTGAAGCTCAGAAATACCAGAGATGTCCAGTGGCCAGTGGTCAACGGGCTAGTCCAAGCGGTGGGTTTGCATTCATGACCTTTGGTAGAGGGGGAATCACCTAATTACCTGCCTCCTGATTACCTGGCCAGATGTCCAGAATAGAGGGCCTGCATAGACTCTAAGCCAAAGCGACAACATGTATGTGGCAAGAGGGGGGGAATTATCTACTTACCTGCCTGTCGGCTGTCAGAGGTATTGCCCAAACCCGGTAGCTGTGACAGCCCCCAAGACTGAGAGAGTCGCCGCGAAAACCAGTCTGCCACAAATCACTGATCCGGAATTTACATTTGTTTCGATGATATGGCACTTCTTATAAAACACAGTGAAGTCCGGATTACTCTGAGCAGCCGTGCAGTTCTTGACGTTTTCGAGGCTTCGTTGGCATCGTGTCGTGCAATCCTCGTGTGCATTTTCAAGACCGCAGTACTGCCTAGCCTCAGCGATTCCCTGCGACACAGATAACAATGTGACAGTCATATTTTCAGAAGTCGATAATAATAACATTTTATTAATTAAAAAAGGGTTTAAAAGAGTGAATTGGGCCTTAAACCACCAGTAGTACATCGCGATCGAGCCTCTCCTAACATAACGGAGGCTCGGGCCAGGGTGTCTGTCCCAAGGTCGCACCTTACCAAAAACAAATTGTTCCGGGCCTTGGGGCAAGACAGGGCGCAGCACTGAACCCAAAAGAAAAAAATCCTGCCAGCGGGTGTGGCACGTCCCTAGTCCCCTAAGTTTTCGGCGAGGCTCATTTGCGAACCACCAGTCCCCCCGCTACGAAAAACCTCGGGTGACCGGTAGCATATTTTCATGAGGGCTACCGGTAGTAAGTACTACAGTATGGAGAACCAGCACGATGGCAACAGTGGCAAATGCGTGGAACTGCAGCCGCCATTTTTTTTTCCGCAGTTGAAAAGATTTTTAATCATTTTTTTCAATTTTCTCAAATATTTTTCCTCGAAAAATCACGACCTAATATCCACAGGCCCTCCAATTTTCCG